TCTCTCTCTCACTATCTCTCTTTTTAGTTTTCTTTATTGCAAGTTATAACAACTTTAAGAGTTGATGACATTCGTTAGATTTGAATATTATGTTGCATATCTATTTCTAATAATTAACTTTTTTTTTAACTTGCCACATGTTTTAAGTCCTATTAAAAAATTCTCACTTCGTCTGCTTATGATTAACTCAATCATAAAAATGAAATTACAAATACATAGCAATATACTTATCTTAAACATAATATGATTGTTGTATGCAATTATATGATTACAATACTATATTTTCGTTCATGGTAGATGCTTATTCATTATTTCTTATCTTTTTGTTAGGAAATTAAAATGTCTTCTACATTTAAGTCAAAAGGTCTTTCAACTGATCATGTATTACTTACTAATGATAATTTTGCTGCAAATTCCTTATAAGTTTATTTTTTTATGAACTTGCGATTTGTAAAATTTTTATTTTTGTAAATTATGTTTGAGATTTTCATGTCATATTTATTTTGTTGTAGGAAAAATGATAAACTTTCTGAAGCATGCCTCATTTATACTTCCTATATTTCAATTTATTCGTTAATAAGTTAACAATTTTAACTTTCCTCTAAGTTGATTCTTCTTATGTCATTAATTTTTTCTGCTTTCTAAGAACAATTCAATTTTTTAATGTAAAAGTACAATTATAAATTTTTTTTTTTAAAACCGCCATTGCCGGTCCCAAGCCCGGATGAAAAAGGTTGAGGGTAAGATGATTTACCAAAAATTTTGATTTTATATTCCTTAAAATATTTTTTTAAAGCATTTAAGCTTTATTTCATAAATCCTTCCTGAATAGGATACCAAAAAAATAATTTATATGTTTCTTAAATTGTTTTAATGATTTACGATATTATTTATTTTCATTATGCGTAGTACGAAGCTATCAACTGAAATAGAGAGTAGCAATGATAAACTCTATTTGTTTAAGACATACGAAGTATTGGTATGCATGAAGCATGTTTATGAGAACTTGATTCAATTGACATATTGTTCTCTGAATCATTTCAGTTTTTTAGCTTTGCATAGAATTATTCGTTGAAAAAATATAATTTAATAAACTTGATAATTTTATGATTATTCTGACAGTTAATCTATTTTAATTATATAGTTTATTGAAAGTTTAAAATACCTTAATTCTTTTGTAATTGCTTCAAAATTTTCAAATTGATAAATGATTACGCATCTGACTTGATTACCTTCATTATTTCCTTTAACTATTGAAAAAAACACATATTTGCTCAGGATTTTTCAATCTCTTAAAATTTGATTTTATTATCTTCAAAATAAAATTCATTACATTCTTTAGCAAATCTAAATGAAATAAATTTAAATTGTATTATAAATCTTAATTGGATTTTATTATATATATAATACCTTCTTTCAATTAATCTTAATTCATGTATAATAGAATTATAAATCATATATATTCATACAAATATAAATTTCATCTTGATACAAAATCTTATATCTTTAATATATCATATAATAATTAAAAAAATTATATATTATTTATTTTAAAATTTTTATTCACATGCACATGGTGCACGTGCATTTATACTAGTATAATTCAACTGCACCGGATCATAAATTCATTTAAACTATCATATCTAAATAAATTAATATAAAGTATTTCACAAGTATCAGAACTAAAATCATAAATTTTCATTCACAATTTCCATCGAAAATTTGTCACAGATTTTTTTTTTCTTTGACCAACATTATATGGATAGAAGCTTAGTCCTTCATCCAACCAACACCATGAACTATTCTACTTTAATCTTGTAGGAATAAATCATGCTGACATGACAATTGCTCATGTAGCATAAAAAAAGGCTCATAATAGTGTATGAATAATATTAGGACAACTCATCATCTTTCATGAAAGCTCATCATTCTTTCTTATTGAAGCTTATTTCAAGAGACAAAAATTTGTTAATAATCTGCATTTTTTTTTCATATCATATAGAAGAGCTTTGTAATCTGCTCTATAATGATTATTTCATCTTTATGATAAAGGCAAAAGTTATTAGATTGAGAATTATGCACATAAGTTGCAATTCATTCACTCAAGTAGCAAATAGCTTTATTCAAAGTCGTCTCCGCTTAATGAAATCAATTTATCATCTCATGATAGCATTTCTTGTAGCTATTGATAAAATAAATCATTTGCTCGTTCACTTTCATTTTGTGAAGATATTTATACGAACAATCTACCTTCTCTTATAATTCATAACTCATGGTAACGTATTTGCATAAAGTCGACAACAACGTGACGATTGTGCTCGAAAAACTTATGCCGTAGATATTTCAATCTCGACAATTTAAGAAAATTTATGATTTATAGAAGTTTATCTTCATAGCTTTCTCATGAAAGTTCAAAAGTAACAATTGATATCCTCTGTCCTTTAATTGATGCAACATCCAAAAATATTGTTTGCCCTTGCCTTCAACTCTAGCGGAGTATCGAAAACCCTAGTCACTCAGTCGTACGATTGTGCGCTTCTAGCATCAACCAAGTCTTTCATTGGGTGCCCCAAACCTTCTCTAAAATATGTCAATGCTTCATGATGTAATCTGGAAAAAAATTGAGGACTCTGATAAGCAAATGTGATGTTAATTTTACACTCATAAAAAAATAAAGCTGCACCATCCACTTTAACTAATTTCCTCCTATTTAAAGTAATATTTACATATGCTCATTATAATTTCAACCTACGCTCTTTTATTAAAATTTGCCATTACTAAATTACTCTATCACAAAAAAAAAAAAAAAAAAAAAAAATCATCTGTTACTACATCAAAAATAAATAAAAATTTATATTTACCTTAACTTAATTAATGTGATGTTAATTTTATAGCTATTATATTATTCTCTAATTACATTTAATAAAACTAATTATATAAAAAAATTTAGGGGTTTTTACATACATACCATTTTATAACATATATATTACATATTTAACACTCAAAACTTAAATATTTCTTATATACCACTTTAATCCAAACTTAACCTCAGAAATACCACTCCATCTTACTCCGTTCGCTCGGTTTCACGTTCACGCCCGCTTAGCAGTTAAAATCCCTAAAAACCTTCGGCTCTTCCCACCGAACACCACCGAACGCTTGAGGAAATCCCGTGCTCCTTCGTCTCTTACCACTGGAAGGAGAAGTAGGGTAAGATTTGCTCCTAAACTCCCCAATATCGTCTATTTTCCCCAATGTTTCTTCAGCTCATTCATCGTTCGTGAGGATAAATCTGTAGAAGCTGTAGTATACTCAGGCAACTGAATAAAGCGGGCGTGGATTTCTTCAGCCGGAGCAGGAGTATGCTTCAGCCAGAGCATGTTTTGGTGGTTCTATATTCAGTTTTAATTTTTTTTTGTTAATTTCTTTATCCCGATGCTACCGTAAAAGCATTAATCTGTAGGAATGCAATTTTAATGAAATGTAAGTGTTCTTTAGGTTATTTCAAATGATTTCAGTTTAATGCTCCTATAGAGTAGTATTCTTCAGTTTACTTGAGAGTAGTATTCTTCAGTTTACTTCAAATGAGTTCATCAAATTGAAATCTATGTTTATGTTTTTGTGTAGCAGTGAACATAATAACAAGTTTGACGGCATAGTTGCTTCAAATGAGTTCATCAAATTCATCTGCTACGAGGCGCCCACATTGTCAAGTTTACTGCTACTGTCATCTTAAGTGTGTTTTATATACTTGCTACCGTGGACCCAATTCTGAAAGGCAATTTTATAGATGCATGAATAATCGAACGGAAGACGATTGCAGGTACTTTAAATGGACAGACGACGTAGAAGAGACAACTTCTCGTGTACCTAATGAAGATGAAGGCTTTGAAGCTAGGATGTCTAAGAAGCAAGACTTGATCATCTTGTTGATGAAAGTCTTTATTAGTGTTTTTCTTGTTGACATTGCTTTCCGTATTTATTTAGTTTATTGTTGCATGTCGAAGTAGTCCAAATGATGTAGAAGTTTATTGTATGGTTGCTGTGTAGTTGATCATGAATGTTTTGATGAAGTCTATTGCAACATTTTGTAAGTTGTTTACTAGTGAATGAAATTTCACCTTGTTCTTCAAATTTTGATCACCTTGTTCATGCTTTACGTGCAAGTCAATTTGATTCAAGGTTTATTTGATGTAAACTGGGAAGAACTTCATGCTTCATTCACAAAACTGTGAACTGACTGCAGAAAACTAGAATTTTATACGCGTGAACACATCAGAATTCACAATCCATTGCTTCATTCACAATCCCGTGAACCGTCTGCTAAAGCTCTCCATCTCTAGGAAGAGAGAAAGAACTCATCTTCTTAAAAAAAAAACCAAAAAAGTTAAAAAAAAAAATGCTTAGAACTATAATATGATTCAGTACCTTTTCATCAACACATCTGAAGTGGACCGGCACACAGAACTTGTTGTTCTCCACCTTGGCCCCTGGAGTAGATTTGGTCGCTTCCGAAGCAAGGTTCTATAAACCTTTATATAATGAACATAAAGAAATACAAAGAAAACTACAGAGAAATACAAAGAAAACCACAACGAAAATATAATGTACCTTAATCCGACACCGGGCGCTCACAATTACCGTTGGGAATCACACCGGCCGAGCAGAGGATCGCCACCAGCGATCGCAACCAGTCGAGCAGAGGAATGTCGCTAGCGATCGCAAGCAACCGAGCTCGCGAATCGCGATCAGCCGGACGCAAGCAGCGAGTAGAAGGAAGAATACGCGAGCAACGAACAGAGGGAATTCCAATGGACTGTGTTCGCGAGCAGAGCAGAGCTAACTCCGAACGGAAAATTTCCGCGGGAAGAATACGTCAAGACGGACGATGTAACGAAGTGGTATAATTGATATATAAAATAAGTTTTAGGTGGTATAATAGTAATATTAAATTTTTAGGTGTTAGATATGTAAATGATTATAAATATAGTGGTATGTATATAAATTTTCCAAAAATTTATCATCCTCCTAAAAACCACCCTCCTCCCCGATCCTCCAAACTTCTCTCCTCGCCGATTTCTCAAAAAGCAAGTCGCCTCGGGCAGAGCGGAAGACGCCAAAGCCGTTGGCGATCTCATATGAGAACACCAAAATTTTGGCGAAGTCTTCAATTTTCAGAAGAAATTATCAAATAATTTTATATTTTCTTCACAAAATTAGACTCCGACGGTCCGACCATCACTTTAAGAAGTCTGCTCCTTCTCGAATCAAGGTGATGGCAGCCAGCAGCGCGAGCTGGCCAGGAGCTGAGCGTCGACAGTATCTGGCCATGGCAGCGTGGGGAGGTCCGGCGTTCGCCGGCGATTGATCGGCCGAAGTGGCTAGCGTGAGATCTTTTTGCCTCTTTTATGATTTTTTATTTTTGAGATATTATTTTATGTGTTTATTGATGACGGCATTTCAAAAATATCAGAATGAATATAATGTTTATTTTATCTTAGCAATTTCTTAACAATTAAATTGATGAATAAATGTTAATTTTCTTCTTGATTCTATAAATTTTCTGTGTGACCTCAAGGCAATAAATTTACCGTTGTTTCTCTATTGTAAAATTTATCTATTGAACAAACGAGAAACATTTAAATGCCAATTTTAAGGGTGCATGCCTTGATTTCTTGTTTAAAGCATCTCCAACTGAAAATCTCATTTTTCACTCTAAAATGTAGTGAAACTCAAAAATATTGCAATTCATCTCCAATCGAACTCCATTTTGTGGGCTTCTGCAAAGGTATTTCTCCTCTTGGCGCGTTTCTTCGGCAAATCCGGTTAAGACAAAAAAATTCGTCAGTGAACAATGCAACGCTAATATTGGCATCGCACTGTTCACCCGCAAACAAATAATGAAAGTTTGGGGTTCGTCTGGAGCGACCGAACGACGTCATACGCATTTTTGACGTTCGGTTGGAGATGCTCTTAGCGATTAGCGACCCAGCTTTATTTTGGTGGCTACAGATAAAAGTTACTAAACGAGATTAGCAATCAAAAGTAATAAATAGTTTCCGAATAAATACTCATTAGCATAAAAAAAATGATCGCTAATATGAACAATTTTAGCGACCAATTTTAACCACTGGTCACTAATTTAACAGCCAGAAAAATATGTGGTTGCTATTTGCTTTAGCATCCAATTTGTTTTTTTTAGCTACCATTTTTCTTGGTCGCTAATGACCTATTTATTTATAGAGTAAAATGGCTAATCTCGACCTTACATTTCTAACTAACTTGCTTTCTAATTATCGTTCGTATATACATAGTTACATATCCGGATTAGCAGGGCCATAAATAGATTTGGCAATCCCTATTTAAAGAAAGAGGCAATCAAAATTGTGTGGACCAGCTAGAGTTCATCCGGTTGAACCTAAATGTTTTGTTAGCAAAATGAAGGTTCGAGTCACTCCACCGCGATGAGGGCCAAGCGAACTGCTCATCCAATGGCTGGAGTGACCAAAGACGGCGACACCGGAGGCCATCAGCCACCACCGTGCAGCGGGCACCGGCGGCTTTGTGAACAGGGCATCTCCTGTACGCTGAATACGGAGGTGGGGATGATGCTCGCCGTGATTCGCCAGCCTCCAGACCCCACCATCAGCCCCACCCTTCATGGAGCTCCTGAAACCGACTCATATAACTCCCATCATGTCCAGTCCCTTCTTTCTCTGCGCTCCATCATCTTCCACCCCCTTCGTGGAAGCTGGCACTCCCTCGACCCGATGGTCTACCTCTCCCCCTTCCTCGACATTATACAGAGCGAAGATGTCACGGCGGCCTCCACTAGCGCCGCCCTTTACGCAGTGCTAAAGATCATGCGCCTCGACATCTTTAGCGAGATCACCCCCGGTGCTCGCGAGGCAATCCACGCGGTGGTCCTTGCCATTACCAATTGCCGTCTAGAGCTCACTGATCCTGCATCAGAGGACTCCATCCTCATGCATATCCATCAGGTGCTCACCGCCGTGATGCACTCCAATGCCTCGGTCCTACTGACAGATCACGCAATCTGCACCATCGTCAGCTCCTGCTTTCAGATTGTTCAGCAGTCCGCCGATCGCAGTGATCTCCTACAACGCAGCGCTCGTCATGCAATGCACGACCTTATAGAGGGTATATATTCCCGTCTCAGCAATATGCGATACTCCGACGGTGGCCCCGTAGACTCCGGCTCTGAAGCGGAGAAAAATGCCCTGTTCCTTCACGTGAGCTACACGGCGCAGTGTATGATTGATATCTTCTCTTTCCTCTGCTCTCTCGTGAATGTTGAAGAGCCCGTCGACCCCGAAACTGCTGACGCCAGCTCTGACGAGGAGTTCCAGCTCTTCGTCCTCTTACTCATTAACACCGTGGTAGAGCTCGGCGGCGACAGCATCAACCATCACCCCGGCCTTCTCCACATAATTCAGGATGATCTTTTCCACCATCTCATCCATTATAGTACCCGATCTGGACAACGAATCCTCTCCATCACCTGCAACATTGTTTTCAGTCTCTATCATTTTCTTCGCGGGTAAATTATTGAGTTCGAATTATAAATATTTTTGTTATATGATAATCTTTTTTTTTTTTTTTTTAATCTCCATGTCATCTTCCATTCATTTCGTTTGATTTCCCTTCTTCATTTTGTTTGGCTTTCTAAATATTGTAGGTCTTTGAGGTTGCAATTAGAGGCATTCTTCATCTACGTGCTGTTAAAGATCGCCAAGGGGAGTTATGGATCTCAGCTCCAAGAAGTGGCGGTCGAGGGTATCACAAGTTTTTGCAGACAACCCAATTTCATAATGGAAATATATGTGAACTATGATTGCGACCCTATCCGGCACAATGTGTTGGAGGAAATTGTAAAGCTTCTCTGCAAGACGGCGTACCCCATGAGTAGTCCAATATCGTCGATGCAGCTCCAGGCCTTCGAAGCCTTAATCAGCATAATTCACAACATCGCCGATGGTATTAAAATTCACCATGCCCTTAGTCGAGATGCATACGCGATCGATGACTCCACGTTTAAGCCCTTCTGGCTCGAGCGCTGTGACATGCACAAGGATCCCGATTCCTGGGTCGAATTTGTAAGGATGAGAAAGCTAAAGAAGAAGAAGATCATGATGGCCGCCAATCATTACAACAGGAATGAGAAGAAGGGAATGGCTTTTCTCAACATTTGTCGGCTGGTGCCAAGCCCGCCAGACGCTAAAAGCATTGCCTACTTCTTTCGCTACACGCCGAGGCTCGACAAGAATAAGATTGGTGATTACTTGGGCGAGTCCAACGACTTCAATATTAAGGTCCTTAATGAGTTTGCACAAACATTTGAATTCGATGGGGTGATCCTTGACACTGCCCTCCGAACCTTTCTCGAGACTTTTCGACTCCCCGGTGAATCTCAAAAGATCCACCGCATTCTTGAGGCATTCTCAGAGAGGTTCTATGACCAGCAGACATCTGGGATTTTTGCGAGCAAAGATGCCGTCTTCATTCTCTGTTACTCCCTCATTATGCTCAACACAGACCAGCATAATCCGCAGGTGAAGAAAAAGATGACAGAGGATGAATTTATAAGGAACAACAGAGCTATTAATGGAGGAGTGGATCTTCCCCGAGAGTATCTATCGGAGTTGTTCCTCTCCATTTCCACAAATGCAATCACCCTCTTCGATTCATCAAGTGCCGTCATTTCTGAGATGAACTCCCACCTTTGGGCGAACCTCATGAAACAAACGCGTACAGTGGAGCCCTACATATTGTGCGACTATAAGCACAAGCTTTGTCGGGAAGTTTTCAACACCATCTCTGGCTTATCGGTTGCCACCATCTGTGTCATCTTCGAGCAAACTGACGACGAGAATGTGCTGCAAGAGTGCATCGAAGGGCTATTCTCCATCGCCCGGATTGCTAGATACAGTTTGGAGGACATCCTTGATGAACTATTGTTTTCTTTGTGCAAGTACACCACGCTACTCAATCCATATGCCACCGCAGAGGAGATCGTCTTCAGCTTCTCAAATGAGGTGAAGCCGAGGATGGCGACGCTGGCCATTTTCACAATCGCTAACAAGTTCGGCGAGTCAATCAGGGGGGCTTGGAGAAACTTGGTAGACTGTCTTCTAAAGCTTAACAGGTTAAAGCTATTGCCGCCTACACTTCTCGAGACCTGTCGTAGTGCAACAGAGGCTGACATAGACAACGATGGAGGCCGTCATTCAAAGTCAGAGTCTGGATCTGGCGTGATCTACCCACCATCCTACCTGGGCAGCGACAGACGAAACATTTCTGGGCTGGTCGGTAGGTTCACAGAGCTCCTCTCGCTCGAATCCGGTGCCGACTCGATGTTGAATGCTGCGAGCGACATGGAAAACAACCTCAAGATAATACAACAATGCAGAATCGATAGCATATTTAAGGATAGCGCGGGGTTGCCTCAAGAGTCATTGCAGCACCTTATACGAGCCCTCGTCTTTGCTGCGGCTGGTAAGGGGCAAAAGTTCAGCACGTCGGTGGAGGAAGAGGAAACAGTTGGATTCTGTTGGGACCTCATCTTCATCATCATAACAGCCAACCTTCATCGCTTGAGTGCATTTTGGATGCAGTTTAATGAATGCCTGGCATTGGTGTCACAAGTTCCTCAATTCTCACCATGCCCATTTGTTGAGAAGGCAATGGTTGCCTTGTTACGGGTGGTGATTTTGATACTTTCTTCGGAGCCACCAAGGTTGCAGGACCGGCAGTCGGAGGAGATGGTTTTCAAGTCAATCAATTTGACATGGAAGCTGGACAAGGATATCTTAGATGCGTGTAATGACAGTGTGACTGAGGCGACGATGAAGATCTTGAGCAAATATGCAAGAAATGTGCAGACGACACTTGGGTGGAAGACGCTATTCCACCTGCTGTCAGTTACGGGGCGGCACCCGGAGAACTTTGATCGGGGGGTAGAGACCCTAATAGGCCTGATGACAGAGGCCGACCACATCACTAGGAGTAACTACGCCTATTGCATTGAGGCTGCCTTTGGGTTTGCTGCACTGAAGATCAGTCCGGTGGAGAAGAGCTCCCAAATTCTGAATCTAATGGCTGGTTCCGTCAAGTGGATCATACAGTGGCAAAAGTCAAGTTTTTATGAGACAGGGAACTCCAACATGCACAACAGCAGCTCGTCCACGGAGGAAGGAATTAATAAGGCATCCAGTGTTCAGGGAAATAGTTTCGCGGCGACGAACCTATTCATGAAGCTGGCGGAGGCATTGCGGAAGACGAGCTTAGTGAGGAGAGAGGAGATAAGGAACCAAGCGGTGGAGGCGCTGGGATGGTGCTTCTTGGAGGTGGCGGACGAACTGGAGTGGACGGCGGGGAGCTATGCGTCGAGCTTCAACCTGGTGATTTTTGCGATGGTGGACGATCTTCATGAAAAGATGGTGGAGTATTCAAGACGGGAGGGAATGGAACGGGAGATGCGGAGCATGGAGGGGACGTTGAAGATGGCATTGGAGCAGATGGTGGAAGTTTACCTATGTTTTATGGTTCGGCTGGCAGCTGGACCAGGCTTTAGAACCTTTTGGCTTGGACTGCTGCGAAGGATGGACACTTGTATGAAGGCCAGCCTTGGAGAGGAGGGTCTGCCGTCGCCGGTGATGCAGGAGCTCGTGCCGAAGCTACTCAAGAGGATGATATTAGAGATGAAAGAGAAGCAGGTGCTTGTGCAGAGTGATGAGAGTGATCTCTGGGAAGTCACAAATATACAGATCCAATGGATAGCGCCATCAGTCAAGGAGGAGCTATTCCCGGATGATTAATCACTTAATGTTAGTTCAGTTAGGTGTATTTTTAATGTAAAAAAAAATTTAAGGTAAAGAACATATAATTTATTTAGAATTTGAGAAATTATTTCATTAAAGATAAAATTTTGATGAATTTAAAAGGATATTTTAATTTCTAACACTATGTAATCGATGTTGGTAAAGCAATAATAGAATAAATAATGTTAATAAATGAATCATCTTATTTGAAGGTTTAACTAATTAAATAAATAATTTCTCTTATTACTTTTAAGAATTTTGTAATACCTATAACTTTATCAATATTGTTATTATTATTATTATTATTTGGATGACAAGAGTAATAACGATTTATTAAATAAACTTGGCAAGAATTTCTTCTTAAGATATATGAAAAGAAAAAAATTGGTTATTGGCCTCTAGCCAACCAAACGGGGGAGGATACAACATAGAATTGGAAGTCAGCTGGTTTCACTATTAGTAATTCTAGTGCCCTTGAAAGAGTAAGACAAATGAGTTGGGGATTGATTCAGGCACGGTGGCTGCCATGATAGTAGTAGCATATGATCTATGATACTTCATTTCATTGTGTGCCCTCCAACTTTGATAAACTGCACTGCAATATATGCGAGCTACAACCATTTGAGAGATTTTCAACCTACTAAAGGATTTGCAAATTTCATCCAACTCAAACACAACTCAGATATCTCCAAGGAACTAAAGACTTTGGTCTTCCCATCTTCAAATCCAATCTCCAACTCATTACTTTTGCCGATGCCAATTGGACCACAGATCTTGTTACCCGCTACTCCACCTCTGGATATTGTACGTATCTCGGCAACACCCTAATCTCTTGGATAGTAAAGAAGTAACAAACTGTTGTAGGCTCCTCCACAGAGGTTGAATACAGATCATTGGCAACAACGACAACAGACGTAATTTTACTTCTAAGGCTTATCTAAGATTTTCACATCTCTTCTATCAAGTCGACCGTCGTCATCCATTATGACAACACATCGGCCATTGCACTCACCCACAATCTAGTATTTAATGCTCGTATCAAGAACATTGAAGTAGACTGTCATTTTATACGAGATCATATTCAATCTGGCAAAGTTACTATTCTTCCAATCAACGCGACTGATCAAACTGTGGATATCCTAACCAAACCTCTTTCTACTTCAAGATGTCACGTGTAACTCTAGTGCTCTACAAATATAGCCTGTTGTACAGAAAATAGAGATGCAGAACTTAGTTTCATTGAAATGGAAAACGTCTTTCTTCTCTACTTTATCTTCTTGCCTTAGCTGTATAGGAATCTCTTTAGATATGTTCTGAATCATTTAAAACAAAAGCAAACCAAATGTAACATAACTGAATTCTTAAAAATCATTTTATAAAGCAAGTTCTTTGGGTTATTAAGCATAGCATGACAACACTGTAAATTATCATCTGTTGGCTATCAAATGTTCTTAACTAAGGCTTCATTTGGGATAATACTCTCATTCTTTTTTAAAACAGCTTTTTAATAAAAATTTTTGAATTAAAAATTTTTAATACAATATGAAAGTTTATCATATTGTATTTACAGTGGTATTTAAGTTGGATTTACGCTAAATCCAGCCAAACGGTTTTTGTGCGTATTAAAGCCCGGCAAATTTACGGCTTAAATCCCAGATTACTAAATCCCTCCGTTCGGCGGATTTCTGGGATTTGGCCGAAGAAGTGCACGAAAGATAGAAAGTTACCTTCACAGCCAGCGAGCTCCCGTTGCTTCCCAACAAAATGTCGTAACTTACGAAGGACCCCAAGAAGCGACGCGTGCAATCTCTACGCCTCCTGCGAAGCAACGAAGCCAAAGACGAAAACGAAAGATGAAAGGCAAACCCTAGACGCCTCTAAGTTATTATTGATTAACTATATAACTATTAATATAATATAATACTTTATACCATTCTATACATAAAAAAATTAACTATTAATATAATTTAAAATATTAATGATTAAGTAAATTAATTAAATAACTAATAATATAATTCGTGCATAATTTAATCTCAATAAAGTTAAATCCCGCTTGTCGCCAAACTGCCCCTATAGCTTCCCAAGACAACAAAAACATTGAACACCATTTTCTTCCTCAACCTGTTGTTTTATATCACTTGTGAAAACTAAACAAAGTTACCAGCAGGTGATGAATATCTATAAACCTAGCTGGATATATGAAAATTACAATATCTGGTGAAGGGAAGCTGATTATACAAAGAATTTTAGGCTTTGTTTCGGACGGTTTTCTTTCTGTTTTTTAAAACAGCTTTATAATTAATTTTTTTTATTTTTATACTTAAAAAATTATTTTAAGAAGCAATAGAAAAGCCGTACCAACCACAACCTTAATTTAGGAGAACCAGAATGGATTAAGGTGCTCTGATTGATCCTTGCTTCCGACCCCGAGTCTTTCCCTGTCTCATTGGAGATCGAGCAAACAGCATTAGCAATGGCTTACCAAGAGATTTATCAAAAGATGCATTTCCCTGCAATTCTTCCTGCTGCTGCCAATTTTGCATTTGCATTGCAGATAATGCCGAAGATTCTGGGAGTGCAGGCTGTGACAGTGGCGAGGAAGGCAATGGGCCTAGCATGTGATGAAGACCATGAACACCATAGGTGTGATCTATCTCAGCTAACATCTTGTACAGCAAGCATGGCTTTTCACACTCGAGGAGATGATCGTTAAGCTGTGCATGCAACCGGTTGACCAGATGGATCTGTGAAACTTTATTTTAACAAGATTGCATTGCCAAATTTAGGCTTCGTTTGGGGTGGTTTTCTTTCTGCTTCTTAAAGCAGTTTTTCTATAAGAAGCTGCTTTAAGAAGCAAAAAGAAAGCCGTCCCAAACAAAGCCTTAGCCTATATAATACAGGAAACGTAATGTTGCTTACCAAGTCTTTCCCCATGTACCCTTGAAGCTGGCAAGCAGCTTCCTCAGATTTCTCATCTTCTCCACATGCAAAGCCTTGAGGACCGCCAACATTCCCATCGTTATTTGACAGTTCTGGCTGGTGCTCCTCCTTCACAACCAGAAGGTGTCTTTGAGCCCATCTTGCTAGATAGGCATAGTGTTGTTCCAGCCAATTGGCGCCAGGCTTACGACGAGAATTGATTTGCTCAATAGACTCAACAGGTTTTGGTGAATGTTGCTTCATTCCAAATTGCCTCATTACTCGGTCAGGGAAATGCATTTCAACAATGTCAAAGTGAATTAAAGGAGCTCGGGACTGCCACACCCCTTTTCCAGCAGTGCAGATAGCAGGTAATCGGTCAAGAAGATTTTTAGAATAAGGTTTCCAGATAACCTACAAAAGGATTAGATTAAGTGTAAAACAGAATAATATCAAATGCTTAAGGTATATGACACATCCACATTACCCATCTACCATCAGCAAGATTAAGCTCTCTTCTGTAAAACATCAAATGCCCCATAGGTCTCCGATGTCGACGCTCCCCTTGCCACCTGATTGCATGGGAATTCTTTAGATTTCAGGAAAGTTGATTTAACTTAAAAAAAAGCATGGAAACACTAACCTGATACCTAAAGGTCCAGGATATGGACCTCCTCCATAGTCACCCTCTTGCATGATTGGGCGACCTACCTTTAGATGTTCCCAAGCCCACAACTACAATTCATGCAGATGATATATTTTTCCTTAAAAAGTCCTTGTGTTTTGCAACATGTCCGCAAATCGGAAAATTATTAGATCCGGATGAAAGAACCTCTAAGGAGGAGGAGAACAGAGATAAAATAAAGAAGAAAAGTAATCTGTATGTTATTGCTGCGGAAGAGTTGCACGGTATTTATAGGAAAGCCGAAAGAATAGCCAAAGAAGTAAATACATATTGGTGCAATTTAAGGTAAATAGAACAGTCCGCTCACATCCTCCAACAAATTAATCATTCGTTTCACGAATGATTAATTTGGAGCGTAGAAAATTGTAACGAGTACTGGAGAAAGGTTTGGTGAGGATGTCGGCGATCTGATCTTGAGAGGGGATGTGCTGAATGGTAATGTGGCCATCAGATATATGTTGCCGAATGAATTGATAGTCGATTTCGATGTGCTTGGTCCTTGCGTGAAAGACTGGATTCTTGGCGATCGCGATGGCTGAAATGTTGTCGCAGTATATGATCGTTGGATTGGTTTGTTCAAATTGCAGTTCTGCGGACAGACGGCGAAGCCAGATAGTTTCGGAGGTGGCTGCTGACAGAGCCCTATATTCAGCTTTGGTGGAAGATTTTGCAACCGTAACTTGTTTCTTGACGGACCAAGATATTAGGTTTGGACCCATGAACGTGCAATGACCGGTGATAGACTTCCGATCAAGAGTGTTGGATGCCCAATCTGCATCCGCGTAGGTACAAAGTTGAGAGTCACCGGGTATAATGGGTAGACTGTGATGCTTGGTGCCTTTGACGTATCTTAGAATACGTTTGAGACTTTGAAAATCCTGAACCGTAGGTTGATGCATGCGTTGACATGCTTGATTAGTAGCAAAGGCAATGTCGGGTCTAGTGATCGTTAAATATTGGAGAGAACTGGCGGGCGACGATAGAGTGACGGATCGTGAAAAGGATGCGAGTCGGTCTTATTGTGAGAGTTTGCTGGCGCGATCGGTGTTGGTGAAGACTTGCACTGATCAAAGTCGGCTTCGTGGATGAGTTTCTGTGCGTAGTGTTCTTGAGTGAGGAAGTAACCGTTGTTGGTTTGTGTGACTTTTATACTGAGAAATAGAGAGATTTCTCCCCGCTGTTTTAAGGCAAATTGAGTGTGAAGATCGCGAAGGAGATCATGGATGCTTGATTGGTTGTTTCCTGTTATAAGAATGTCATCGACATAGATTAGAAGAAAGATTTGAATTTGTTTCTTGGAAAAGATAAGGAGAGAGGGATCGGAGCGACTGAACCCGAAACCGCGTGCCAGTAGAAAGTTTGTAAACTTCTGGAACCATTGGCGAGGGCCTGTTTGAGTCCGTATAGAGATTTGTTTAGTTTGTAGACGTGGTTGGGAAATTGAGGATCTTCAAAGCCCTGCGGTTGACGCATGTAGATATCGTCCGGTAAGTCGCCGTGGAGGAAGGCATTAGTAACATCTAGCTGAACTGCTGAAGCATGTTCCATTTCTGGTTGACAGCGAGTGTGAGGAGTATGCAGATCGTTGTCATTTTATCCACCGGGCTAAAGGTTTCCGTATAGTTTTCGCCGAATTGTTGTTCATAGCCTAAGGCGACGAGTCGAGCTTTGTGACGATCTAGTTGTCCCGTGGGTAGAACTTTAGTTTTGTACGTCCATTTGCAGCCGAGGATGCGTGTATTGGGCGGAGGAGAGACGAGAGTCCAGGTGTTTTGTTTCCGTACCGCTGAATTTGGTCATCATGGCATTCTTCCAATGATCGTGTTTTGACGCTTGCTTGTAGGTGGTTGGAGTGGGAGGAGTTGTGCCTTTACTGAGTAGGGTGAAAATCTGTTTAGGTTTGTGAATACCGGTTTTAGAGCGAGTTCGCATGTGATGGGTCGGAGGTTGGACGGGAGCTGAGATAGTGTTGAGGTGAGTGTCCTGTGACTCCGTGGTGTTGGGTTGAACAGAGTTGGAATGTTGAGGGCTTGGTGGATGCTGGAGTTGTCTGTTGGAGGTGTTTTGCGGTGCCAGAGGGTAAGGTATGGTGAAGGAAGGAACAACCGTGAGGGGAGGTTGGATTGGCTGGTTGGTGGTGATCTGAGAATTGTGAGTTGGCTTAGGATGGGAGTAGGGAAAGATTTTCTCTTGAAATACAACGTGTCTAGAGATATGAGTTTTGTTGGTTTCCAGATTATAGCATTTGTAGCCCTTATGATGGGAAGAGTAGCCGATGAAGACTGATGGTTGGGATCTTGGTGCGAATTTGTTTGCAGTGTAGGGTTGCAGCCACTGGTAGCACAGACACCCGAAGGTGCGGAGATGAGAGAAGGTGGGTGGTTTATTGTACAACATTTTGGTGAGGTGATTGGAGGCCAAGAGGTTTGGAAGGTAAGCGGTTAATGAGGTAGTTTGCGGTGTCGATGGCTTTGGCCCAGAAGTGATCGGGAAGTTGAGAGGCATGGATGAGTGTTCTAATAAGGTTGAGGAGATGTCGATGCTTCCTCTCGGCGAGGCCGTTTTGCTCCGGAGTATGAGGGCATGAAAACTGGCGAATGATCCCGTGTGTGTGAAGAAACTGAGAAAAATCGGTGCTAGTGAATTCCCCTCCGCCATCGAACCTGAAGATTTTCGGTATGGCGTTGAACTGATTTTTAATCAAACTTCAAAACATTTTGAATTTAGTGAAAGTTTCTTGTTTCGTGTTCATGAAATAAATCCAAGAAAATCGTGTAAAATCGTCAATAAAAACAACAAAATATCGAAAACCGTTAAAGGGAAATAATAGGAGACGGTCCCCAGACATCCGAGTGAATTAGTTCAAACGGATGTGTGGTGGCCGAGCATCTTCTATTAAACGAAATCTTTTGGCTCTTGGCCATGTTATAGGAGGTACAGTGAAAGGAAAAAAGAAATGTTCTTGAAATCGGTAAAATTTCTAGCTAAGAAATGAAGGATCTGGTTGTTCGGATGGCCGAGACAAGCATGCCAGGTGGAGGAGGGATTCGTGTTGGCATGAAAGGCTGTTGGTCGGCTGTCCGGAGGAATGTTGAGCTGATATAGGCCATTATGGAGCCATCCACGAAGAAGATGTCGGTGGTCCTGTATATCCTTAATTTCAAAGCCGTTAGAATCGAAGGTGATAGAAATGGTGTTATCTTTGGTTAGTTTTAACACTGATAAAAGATTGTGTGTAAGATTCAGCACATGTAGAAGGTGACAAAGATGAAGCTTACGAGGGGTGTCCGGTAACGGTAGCAAACCTTGATCGTAGTTGTGGATGGGTAGAGTAGAACTGTTTGCGACGGTGACGAAGTCGGATCCGTTGTAGGTGGTAGGTTGTTGTAGGTTAGTGTTGTCATTCGTGAGGTGATTAGTCGCTCCGGAGTCGAGGACCCAACTATGAGGAATGGATTGAGTTGGTTGGGCAAGCATCGCTCGGGGACCATTCTGAATCGTGGGAGCATATTTGTAATTACTTCTATGCCAACAGTTTAAGGCAATGTGGCCAACCTTGCCACAAATCTGGCAAGTTGGGCGAGTGGTCGGTGCTGAAGAGTTTGGCTCGCCTGGTTCGGTCTGACGCGGAGCAAATGATTTGTTCTTGAAATAGCGTTTAGAACCACGATTCTTATTCTAGTTTACCGAGGAGGCGTAGAGAGCCGAAGTGGAATTTGTAATGGATTGATCTTTTTGTGATTCTTGATTTACATGAATCTCTTCGCTGCAAAGCAAGGAATAGAGATTATCAAGATCGGCGGGTAGGGAGGAGGTGCGGATGGCTGTTTTGAAGGCGTTGTAGGACGCCGGGAGACCGTTTAATATGTAGAGAACGATATCCTCTGGATCGATTTTAGTTCCGGTGGCGGCAATGTTGTCCACGATATTCTTGATGCTTGAGAGGTATTGTTGCATGGTTAGATTGTTCATTTGAACATGATGTAATTCATTCTTGAGTTGAATTACACAGGAACGACTTGACGACTGTAGCCGGCGTTCAAGGGTGGCCCATACTTCTTGAGACAAAGTAGAAGTAATGACATAAGGAAGGAGTGCGGGAGAAATGGTGGAGAAAAGTGCAGAAATTAGATTACTATCTAGAGCCGCCAACGAGCGTAGTCTTGAGAGGTAGGATCGGAGGGCGGAAGAATCTTGCCGGTGAGGTAGTCGGCATAGCTATTCGCGGAGAGGTTTTGAAAGATTTGGATTCGCCAAATCGCGTAGTTATCGGTGGTGAGATGATGAGGAATGAGATTCTTGAAGTTGGAGATGATGAACTTGAGTGATGCCGGCAAGGTGAGTTCTGCGGCGGAACCGGCGAACGTAGAGGAGGAAGTGGGAGGGAGGGAAGAAGCAGATGCACACCGGACACCTGACAGAGAAAATCATCCGGATTTCTCTCTGTCTATAGTAAAAGCGTAGTTACTGTAGCAGCTGCACTTTGACTACACTTTTACTGTAGACAGAGAGAAACCCGGATGATTCTCTCTGTTAGGTGTATGGACCTAATAATTTGCCCCGCAAATGAGCAAGCATCATACCTGAAGAAGATGAATGTTACCGGCCAGTCTCTTCACACTTTCCCTTGATGCACGGCTCAACTCCCTATATAAGTAAGCAAGGCTTGCTGCACCAAAAGCAGTCCGACCGCACTTCTCGAAATCTTCTAACAATGGGAGATAACGGCATGGAACTGCATTGCCTGATCGATTGGGAACAATCCAGCTACCTAGCATGTGCATGATGTAAGCCCTGGTATGGTATGCTGCAGTTTCCGCAGATGCATTCTCGGGTACATCCTTAAAATTGTCTCGAAGCCAGGCGAGCTTTAACTTTGCTGCACTGTCTATAATATCCATGGGTGCCCTCCCAAGAAGCTCATTGCAGCACTCCGTCCAAGTAGCCCATCGTGATTCAAGCCCCCCAACATCACGAGCTGCAGTTACTGGCAAACCATCCACCACCAAGCCAGTCAACACAGCTACATCTTGCAAGGTCAGGCTGATCTCGATGTTATGCAAGTGAAAGGTGTTTGTCTCAGGACGCCATCTCTCGATTACTGCACAAAGGAGATGCATATCAAGGTGCAGCCACTGTAAGGAATTGGCAACAAGGAACCCGGCTTGGTTGAGTTGGTCAATCATTATAGGATGTGTAAGAGGCCAATCGCGCATGGATAACATATGGTAGCACTTCCTTGGCATTCCACCCTGCACAAAGTTGATGGTTTCACCCTATAAACCCAAATGAGAACTGCAAAGCATTTAAGGCATGAAAGAAAATATCATCAAACGGCTACACTTACTTCACGCTCAGATGGTTTCTTAGAGACATTATTAATGTTCTTATGTAACAAGAAGGGATCATTCTGCACCAACGGAGAAGCAATAGTCACTCCTGAGTTACCTGTAGTGGCCTCCAGGATACATGGGGCCTTCTCTGTTACTGATTCTTCTCTGGTAGTTTCAACATATTCATCAATTGTAACAGAGGATGAGACAATAGGAATGTCATTCCCAGTTTTTCTTGGAATAATATCCTTCTCTACATACAACTCAATAGCCCCTCCAACTGAAGATTCATCAAGCATGCAATCAACTATCTCATCATTTGTCAATGCTACAGCTCGATAAGCACCCCCATGGATAGGATACTTGCAAGTCAAAACTAGCGAATAGGCAAGTGGATCAATTTTTGTGACTTCAAATATTTTCCTCCTCACATCATCTAATGTACTCGATCTATCAACTTTGATGGGCCTCTGTATCCCACCTACATATGTAGGTGCCACACCGTCCCCTTCAACAACCAACTTTCCATCATAGCAACATAATAACTTAATCTTCTCTGTCATCTGTAATCCAACAAAAACATCCATAACTTGATACTAACAAGCTAATTAAAAAAAAATCTGGATTCAATATCAAGTAGCACATACACAGAATTATAGTTTCTAAAAACATGCAGCGAAGTACATGACAACTTGCACAACGTTTGGATGCTGGCAGCTTTCTTTTTAACCAAAACAAACACAAGAGGATAAAGACTAGTGTAGCACAACTAGCACATCCATAAACCACAATTGTAGCTACCTAGGAAGAAAGTTTTCAGTAATCTATAATGCAGTCTCTGCATAATTTCTACATAGGCTTCCAATAAAAAAAAAAAACTATTAATATGCCAGCAAACATGAAAAATATGTTTGCATCAAAATCATGTCATATTCCAAGTCAAACAAAGTCTAACTATTAAAAACTTTTCTACTAATTTTTGCATCAAAATCGCGTCCTCAAGAGGGAATCCTATGATATTTCATGCTAATGATAGGATTTTTGTATCAACAAAGAAGTTTGAATTTTCTATGGTTAGAAAATTTCTTTTGAGAATCCTTGTTTGGAAACTCTAAACCCTAAACCCTAATATAGAGTGTTTTCACTTGTAATCCAATTCCAACTATTCATTTCTCAAGCCAAGACATGGGAACTACTTAGCCTTGCATGTTATAACTCATTAAACTTCAATTCATATCATTATATCAATAAGAAAATGAGGGAAGCTTCAATACAAAACTATTAAAAGGAAAAATGCATTTAAGTTGAAACTCTCCCAATGCAACAGGTAGATATTTTTGATGATATTGAGCTCCAAAAACGTTTTGTTCTTGAATACCTTCATTCAAGCCCATACAATTTCCAAGTGCAAATATATAAAATTCATCTCTATCCAGAATAAATAATTTAGATGTGCCTCTTCAAGAAAAAAATTATTACCAGAATAAAATTCAATATCCAAACTTAAAAGAACAGGTATGAAAGGATAATAAAATTCAAATCAAAATGAAGAGGAAAATAGAATTAAAGAAAATTATAGAATAAATTAAATAAAATATAGAATAAATAAATATAATATTATACAAATTTTTAGTTCACTTTGGATGGAATATAGTGGCATAACAAATTGGAAAGGTGGTTGCCTGCAAATCCTCATCCAAAATTTGAATTTGGATGTCGCTTGATCAATTAAAAAAGAATTAAAATTTCATAATCATGTTGATGGAACTTAAATGAATAGTTGTGAAAGAGTAATCAAGGGACTAAGTCTACCAAAAATCGATTTCAATAAACCATAGGATCAATAAGGGGCATGGCTGCAAGTAGGATTTAGTAAATCTAATTTTTTATTTGCCTAATATCAGGCTTTACTACGTTCCAGACATAAGTCAAAACAGAGGAGAAATGGATTTAATATTCCGTAATATTTAAAATGGTCTTTGGTAACCATTGGCAAGATTTAGCTTAAATCCTGTGTAAATCCGGCATCCAATCAGCCCCTGAAAGAGAAACATCTTCTTTTTCAAAATCTGGGTTCTGAGAGTGTGGCCCCGAGAAGTATAAATAACCAACATAACTTTATTTAGGAACTATCATGAATTAATCAAATCAAAGAATTACTTAATTGGGCATCAAAAGAAGTAGATTAAGCTCACCAAAACAATCGGAGGATGCTAAGCCTTTAATGAAATCTAATGCTAAGATATCACTGGCCATGAGAAGGAGGAGATAGATTTGCTGTGCAAAGGAAGATTTTCGCAAGCCCAACGACAGCGCTAAATTCCAAAAATTGCAAAACCCTAAGCGGATACCATTTTCCTATTTTGAGCAAAAACATATAGGGGAAATGACAAGTACAGAGGTATCATCAAGTAGAGCTCTTATGAGAAAACCTGTGGAGAGCCAATGACTTTCCGAGACTCAACTCCTCAACCATGAACAGATCTAGGAGTGAATGGGTGGCGGTAAATGAAATGATCGCTGTTTAAACGCACAAGTGGCTTTTTCACCGCCAGTAAATCTCCGCTAGAGCTAACCTCTCTGGCCGACGATGGTTGCCGAATGAGCTAGGGCATCGCGAGACTCAGAAGTCGGCCCATGGTAAGAACGAAGGCGATGCAGCACGATCCGACAGTCAACCACGACACTTGCAAGCGCCGGAAGAAGCTAAAAAGCTCATTTTTAGCGGTTGATTTAAGGCATTGTTTGGGAGGGCTTCTTTATTGTTTTTTAAATAAAGTTTTAATAAAAAAATAATTTGAATACTAAATTTTTTATTTTAATAAGCAATAAAAAAGTCCTCCCAAATCAAGTATAAATTAGAAAAAATTATTCAATGCCCAGTCCATAGGGGAAGAACCGTCTGAATATATACGTATATATACTGTGTACAAATTTGTACTCTTATACAAAGTGTGTATCAACTTCTTATACACATTATTTATACACAATGTGTACACTCACAGTCTGAACGATTTTTTTCGTTTGGACTCCGCACGAAATAATTTCTCAAAAATTAGATAAAAATATCAATGCTGCAAAAATCACATCAAATTGAAAAAAAAAAATCAAATTTCGATGAACATTGAAGACTTGGACTCTAAAAAAAAAAGAAGACTTGGACTCTAAAAAGATGGGCACATGAGTGGGCAATTAAAGAGTTGTGTGATTCCAATAATTAAATACACTCACTATATTATTAGATAGTAAGGCTAGAAATATTTTTGTTTATTCGTAGTATAGTTACAATAATTGAGCAATCTTTATATTAACTTTAGCTTCTTATTTAATAGCATATTAATTTTTAATGTTACTTCATAAGAGAATAAATCTAGCACTATCTAATAAATCATAATTGAGCAATCAGTGCATCATAATCGAACAATATTCAAACTATATTCGAACAATCTTTGAATAATGATTGGACAATCATCGAAATACAACCAAACAACTACTGAACCATGATCTATTAATCTTCGAACCTATTCCAATATTAGAATATAATTGGTTTGAACATTGTTCAAAGGAGCTTCCAACATGAAACGAACATGGGTCAAATGCCAAAAACTTGGCTCTAAAATTATTCAAACTTTATTCGAACCAATATTGGTCGCAAAATATTTCAAATAAGTAATCAACAATCAAAAGTAAGCGGTATTTTGATTCAGAAGAAACTTTGAGCAGGCCTCAACTTTGTCTTCTCAGCTTATAATCCAATTCAACTAAAAAGAAATTAATAAAAGCTAACTCATAATAGAGAAATAATTCTTAATGAGTTGGATACACAAAGAGAAAAAGAGGCAAATAACATATTTTTTAACACAATCATGATGCAAAATATTATAAGATTTTGTGGGTGTCATTAGCATTTCTAATTATAAATTTATAAAATATAACATAAAAAATCTAAGCTTCCTTCCTTTTCTTCTTCTCCTCCTCCTGAACTTCTCTTTTTTCCCTAATTTTTCACTCCTATGATTTTACACATTCAACTTTTCTTCTTTACAAGATGATGAGCTAGTTGAGCTTAATTAATTACAGCTTCTTACGGGATAGTTTTTTTTATTACTTTATAAAATAATTTTTTAATACAAAATCTTTAAAACTAAAAATTTTAGTACCATAAAACTACTTTAAAAAATAATGACAAAGTTGTCTCAAACGAAGCAACTCAAACAATGGAAATTAAACACTTTGTCTTTTTTTAAAAAAAAATTAAACACTTTCTCTGTCTATCATTGATATATTATCAAAAAATTATTTTGACCGGGCACAAATCTCGAAGCAAAATCAAGTTGGAAACTTCAATAATTAAATCAAGAACCATATGAACTCCAATTTCAGTAAACTTACAGTCGAATTGAACGTCGCGGAAATACGAACCCAACGACACCAAATTCGACTCAATCTAAGCTCAAATGAGTCCAAATCAAAGACTTTAAGCACATTTGGAAGGTTCAAACCATAATTTGGATTACCAAACGGTTTCTAAACATTACATGCTTATATTCAAATCGAGAGGCTCGACGAGATGAATCCAACGAGTCTAAGATCGCCAAATTATGATTTCATTAAGACATTCAAATGCCCAGTAAACAGTTTACAATCAAGGGGATCAACATCGGTCGTCGATTCAAACCACTCACAATTTACGCTTGATCTTCCTCTTATTTACTGATCATGTCATTCTGAGAAAACTATATATAGACTCCTCATTTCTCATGAAAAACGAGACTTAAACAAGAAAAGGAGGAGAGTTCTCTTGCCACCAGACTCCTCGACCATCGCCAGACTTGAGCTTGTCCACTAGTTATCACCGTACTTCCGCTCGGCTACCGACGGATGTCTGATTTCCATCCGACTGCCAATTGATGTCGGATTTCTGCCTGGTCACGGACTGACTTTGGACTTCCGTCCGACCTTCAGACTTCAATCCGGCTGTTGACTATTGTAAAATGATTTTCCTCAATTTTAAGGATGATCAGACACTTGTAATTTACTTATACACTAGTATAATCATTTCAACTGGGCGTGACCCCATGATCTTTTCCCTTTTCTAGGATTTTCTACATAAAAATTCCGGTGTTTCATTTTTCTTCTGTTTGTATGCTGGATATTCGTAGAACGCTGAGACGAAATTTTTTAACTCTATCGCAGATACGAAAGTCCAAATACTGAGCTTCTATTTTGGTATTCTATACATAAAAATACAAGAGAAAGCTGTTGTTGTTCATGGTCGGCCGATGCTCAGCCCGGCCATCACTGCACTTTTGACCGGCCGCACTGATTTGGCAAAGATCATTTCATATTACAGAGCTAAGTAGACTCCCCAAATGGTGCACGCTCAGCAATAATTACTATAATTCCTACACATACTGGCAAGAGAAACATTTCGTTGGATGGTTAATATTTAATAGAAAATTTAGGAGCTCCTTTTTGGAGCTTCCTCTGTGCTAATATTATAAATTGATGTGAATAATTATTAATAACTTACATATTAAATTATCCTAGATTTTCATTTAAATAATATGCTTCCGTGAAATGTATATTTTTTATCTTTTCTCATGTATAATATGTCTCATATTTGTGTTTCATAATTGTTGCGTCCTGGAATACTCGCGGTGATAGAAAAAAATATAAAATGTAATATCTTAACTTTGTACGAAGATCCAATACACAAGCAAATAATAGAGATGGTGTAGCATGCCTTAGAGACACTAAAGTTTTTACGTGGAAACCCCTGAAAAGGGGGAAAAACCACAGGGTCTGACTCAGTTTAAATGAATCAACTATTATTTACAGTCGAGTACAAATGAGACACTTTCTTAGGAGGATGGCCTTGGGTTGATGTAGCAAATGTACATCATATTATATGGTGGGAATTGGAAGAACTAGTATTGAAATGTTCGTTTAGTCGACAAAACCATAGTCGGCGGGTTATGGAAGTCGGAAAGACCATAGTCTGGTAACGGTGGTCTGAAGGACCATTATCTGGCGAGGGAGGTTGGAAGGACCATAGTTGGCGGAAGATAGTGGTCAGAAAGATCATTTTCTAGCGATGGAGGTCGGAAGGGCTGTAGTCAACTAGAGACAGTGGTCAGAAATACTGTTGTTTGGCAAGGGAGGTCGGAAGGACCGTAGTTGGTGGAAGACAGTTGTCAGAAAAACCGTTATATGATGATGGAGGGAGGTCAGAAGGACCGTAGTAGGTGACAGAGGTCGGAAGGACTATAGTCGACAGGAGACAAAGGGTTAGAAAGACTGTTGTCTGGCGATGGAGGTCGAAAGGACCATAGTTGGTGATGAAGGTTGAAAGGACCATAGTCGGCAGGAGATAGGCAGAAAGACCGTTGTATGGCGATGGAGGTCAGAAAAACCATAGTAGGTGTCAGAGGTCAGAAGGATCGTAGTCAGCAGGTTATAGGGGTCAGAAAAATCATTGTCTAGCGATGGAGGTCGGAAGGACCATAGTCGGTAGGAAATAGGGGTTAAAAAGACCATTATCTAGTGATGGTGGTCGGAAGGATCATAATCGATATGAGATAGGGTTCAAAAAGATCATTATCTGGTGATGATGGTCTGAAGGACCGTAGTAGGTGACGGAGCTTAGAAGGACCGTAGTTGGCAGGAGGCAGTGGTCAAAAAAGACTGTTGTCTGGCGATGGAGGTCGGAAGAACCGTAGTAGGTGATGGAGGTCGGAAGGACCGTAGTCATAAGATGGTGGTCCGGCAAAAATCCGGGCTTTATTTGGTGGTCCATTAGAACTCAGACTTCTATCACTGGTCTGGCAAAACTTCAGGCCTCAGTCGGTGGTTCGGCAGAACTCAGGCGTCGGGCAGTGGTCCGATGGAAGTCAGGCGTCAGGCGGTGGTCCTGACAGAAGTCCGGCGTCAAGCGGTGGTCTAGCGGAAGTCCACTGTCATGCAGTGGTCCTAATGGAAGTCCTGCGAAAGTCCAGCGTCAGGGTTTAGGGTAAATTGGCAGTGGTTTGGATGGATGGTCGATATTGAATCCCTTGATCATGGACCGTTTACTGGGCATTTGAATGTCTTAGTGATATTAGAATTTCACGATCTTGGGCTCGTTAGATTCGTCTTGTCGAGCCGCTCAATTCAACTATAAGCATGTCACGTTTGCTAATCCAAATTGTGGTTTAAACCTTCCAACAATACTTCGGGTCCTTGATTTGGACCCATTTGGACTTGGATTGACTTGAATTTGGTGTCATTGGGTTCGTATTTTTTAGGCGTTTAGTTTGACTATATGTTTGCTAAAATCGGAGTTCGGATGGTCCTAATTTTATTTTCAAAAATTTTCAATTTGATTTTGCCTCGAGATTCATGCCCGATCAAGATAATTTTTTGATGATGCATCAATAATAGATATTTAAGATTTAATTAGATATTTATTGACATTAATAAATCTTTGATATAATTATATAATATCAATGTTTATAAGTATTTTATTGGATGTCCTCTTTCACATTAAGATAATTTAAATAGTCATCAAATTAGCTGTTATCAAATACATAATATTAAAAAAAATTACAATTTTAAATAACATCATCATCATCATCATCATCATCATCTAAACAATACTATTATCAATGAAATAGCTTTGCCAAATCTCCATATCCAACAGTTTAAAAGAAGCACAACGGTTGGTCCTTTACTGCTAAAGGCTCCAATGACAAGCAAAGCCGCAACCAACCCCAACCCCAACCCGGACACCTCTGACACCGGAGGCGCCGAAGATTACAGACTTGACGACGATTTCATCATTGGGATCTCCTCAATCATCATCTTCCTCATCGCTTTCATCACCGGCGTCTCTTACTTCTGCTTCCGAACTAAACGGAACCGCGGCTCCCAAGTGAGCCACAACACGGCCGAACATGAAGAAGCTGGGCTGGAGGAGGGAACCTTGAATAGCTGTCCCGTGATCACATACGCTGAGGCAAAGCATCAGGATGCGCGGTCCGCCGACGACAGCTGCTGCTCTGTGTGCCTGGCGGCTTATGGAGAAGATGATGAGTTGCGGATGTTGCCACCGTGCGGGCATTTCTTTCATGTGCAATGTGTGGATCCGTGGCTGCGGCGGCAGGCGAAGTGCCCATTGTGTCGGTCTTCAATCAACGCCAGTGTTGATTCTCCTTGTTGAGGTTGTTTCCTCATGCAGTTAGATCTATGCAAGAGAGATATTAAGAAATTATTTTGTACATGTGTAGCGTTTTATATTATTGGATATGTAGATCTTCTAATGGCATCTTTTAAGAAAATCGTGTTGTTTTTAGCTTGGGATTGGGTGATCTTCCCTGCTTCTGTTTCAGGATTACTGGGTGTGGCAATAGCTATCCGCAATGTTACTTCTCACATGTGCAAGAAAAATTATTCCGTGTGGATGCCGAACATTGTCCAAAGATTAGTCAGAATGCGCCGCATCACTCATGTGCTTCGTACTGTGGCTCGGTACCGCTGACGTGACGTATTTTGATTAGTCTCCGAATAACATTCTGCATGCGGTCTCGGCATAGAACAATCTCTCCGGGCACTTTTTATACTTGTTAATTTTCGATGAGAATGTTATATTTGACCATTTGATTAATTAAAGGATTTCAACTCACAAAAAGTCCAGAACTATTCGGTGTGAGGTTGATATTAGAAAAGCTTTTGACTCTCATGATAGAAACTTTCTTCTAAATTGGCTGCTTCTCCGAAGGCTCCTTTTCAAGTTTATTGATTGGCAGAGAAGTTGTATTGTGGATGTTTGTTTCATTATAAATGTAAATAAATCTCTCGATGGGTTATTTTATTCAATTGATCAGTTGCATAGATTGTTGATAGCACACAAATAAAATGTGTGCTCCTTGGAAGATATAGAAGTGAATATCAAGAAGGGAAAAAACTTGGCTTTTAAGCACCACAGAGTATTAGCGATAATGATAAAATATCACTCTAGACTCACACTACTAGAAAATTTCTCATTATCGGCGGAAATTTTCGGTCAAAAATTTCGACAGTAATTAGTGAACCCGATGGAATTTTGGCAGAATTTTTTATCTGAAAATTTACTTAATTTCCGATGGAAAAATCTATTGGAAATTCCGCCAGAAAGAACCATATTTCTTCTCAAACCCGTTCCAATCTCTCATTTACCATTTTTTCTCTCCCGAATGCAACTCTTGGCATCTCTGTCAATCATCGTCGTTCAAGGTGATTTCTAGATTATTTTCTTCCATTTCTTCGAGATTTGAATGATAAAACTTCTTATCTTTGATCATTTTCAATTTTTTTAAGATTTCAATAGTTAGAATTTGATAAAAGTTTATTTTGATTTGGATAAAGCTTAAAGCATTCATTAAGTATTACTCACAAACATTAAAACTATCTTTTGAGAATACGTTTCTATTGTTAGGAACTAATGGTGGAGAAAGAAAATTAGCAATTTCACTATATAATTTTTTTTTTTTTAAAGGATTGTTAGATCAAGTTAGCCAAATACAAGTTGAATGCATAATAAATAACACATTATTGTGAGTTTAATGCAACACTTAATCTCAATAGAGTGAACTAAACAAAAGAGTACACTTCCAAGATTAATAAGATGAAAATGTACACTGTAGCTATTTCATAGTATTTGCTAATGAATGTCGGTCCCTAGATCTACTCCTATGAACTATTTTTAGAGAATACATGTCTAATCTTATGAACTAATAGTGGAGAAAGAGAAGTAATGACTTAATTATTTCAATTTTTTGTTTTGTTTTTTTTTTGTTTTGTTTTTTTGTTTTTTTTAGAATTGTTAGATTAAGTTATATATGGGTATCCAAACTCATGTATTGGACGTATAATAAATTGTTATCGGAATGAAAGTCACTGACATTGAGTTGAATACTTATTCACATGAAATCTCAACAGCCTTTATTTTAATCAGATAGGAAACTTAGGTATACTTGTTCAAAGCATAGATATCAAGTATATCTTAAATCTGATGAGGTTAAACTTGATTTATATTGTAGAGGATTTGTGTTAGGGTATATATTTTGGATCTCATATGGAGAATATGAGCCATATTCAGACTCTAAATTTGGCCCATCCATAACTTCAAGAAAAGTAAAGGATGATCATAATACAAGAATGTACAAAGAATTGGTTTTTGATGCAGTAGGCCGGGTTTAAAAGAACATATAGATGAGTCAACTAACATCGAAGCACAAAAATTCTATGAATTACTACGTGTTGCTCAACAACCCATTTAGGATGGGTGCACTACTCATTCTAAATTATCAGTTGTTGTAGGATGCTCAATATTAAAATTGAATGGAATTTCTCAAGTGTGCTTCGATGAGTTCATAGGTTTGCTTAAGGAAACCAAGTATGAGAATAATTTAATTCTCATAGATTTGTATAGGACTAAAACATTAATATCAAAGTTAAGGCTGATTGCTACAAAAAAATTTGATTATTGTATCAATGGGTTTATGTTGTATTACAATAATGACTTAATAGAAGTTGTATGGCATACATGCAATGCACCTAGATACAAATCAAAATTGGGGAAGCAATGAAAATAGAAGGATATGTTATATTCTCAGTTATTTTATTTACCCATCATTTCTAGACTTCAACAACTGTATGCATCAATGGGCTCCGTTGGTCACATGTAATCAACTTTAGTATCTTCATTTTTTATTATCATAAATAGAAAGACTTTAGGTGATTATCTGAACATAATGCAAGAACAAGAAATAATTTTAAAAAGAGAGGTTTCAATTGCATGAGATATAATTTCACTGATATTAGAAACTCAGGAGACCAACCATTGAGGCTTAGAGAGGGTGTATGGGGTGAATTGATCAGAGCTTGGGCCTCCCCAAAATTTCCAAGAGGAAGCAAAATAATCATAATAGAGCCTCCGACTGTGGGGACTTAGAAAGCTTCCTCCATACTAGTGGTTTGGTGCCTCACATCGAGCATAGAAAATGACAGATGAAATCATTACTATTATTACACAAATAAGTTAACCATGCATTATCTATTCCAATTATTTTATATTTATTATCTTAATAATATTTTTTATAGAAAGAGGTACTTGGTAGAGAGCCTATCCCATTGGAGCTGTACACACACAAACATCAATGCCAAGAGGATCACTTATGGGTTGATCAAAAAAAAAAAAAAAAAAATCTTATGTGAGTTTTAAAAATTCTATAGTATTCATATGTACAATTTATATCTAAATGGGTTTATATTTATTCCATTTCTTGCATGATGATTATTTATAAATTTGAGAGAGTCAACCTTTACTAGTAAGGGATCCTCTTCAGGATCCACATAGTTCTTCGACTACTACACGAGGTTATAGACGGTGGGAGAGAGACAAAAGGGGAGAGGGCATGTATTAGACTCCTAGGCATATGCATATGAGACACAACCACCCAACTCAACAACCTATAGTGATGGCATATTTGAGGAGATAGTAAGCCAAAGGGTGGCTACTGTCACCAAGGAGATATAGCATATGAGATAATTACAAGCAATATGCTAATGTAATAATCTGAGATATTGGAGGAGTTATGATCATATACAGAATAATATCAAAAGAAGAAAGTTCAATAACCCGAGCTTGAGGAGAGTGAAGACATTGAAGATGATTAAATATTATACAATCAAATTAAGAGAATTATAATTTCATGATTAGTCATAAGATTTCTTTAATGAATGACTTTTCTTTATATTATTAGCATAAAATATTAATTTAGAGTTACATGAGTTTGATATAATGTGTTGAAAAAATTTGTTGTACATTATAATTGGTTTCCATGTAAAAGGAATTTTATTTTTTTAGAATTTGTTACAAGTTTTCCATTGATTTTTCATTGGAAATCATTGATACAGAGAAAATAATAGACTTTCTAGTAGTGAAGAGAAGAATTTTGGTAAAAAATTTCTAGAAAAATTTTTCATTAGAAATTTGCCAAAAATGAATATTTTTCAAAGGAAAATTGTCAATTTATGGTGAAAAATTCTTCCAGAAATCATTTATTTTTCTGTAGTGTCACCGCTTGGGTAAGATCAAAGTGTCTCCAAGCCTCTGCTTCTAATGGATGTGTAATAACACCTTCTTACAGAATGTGTTCATTATGCCATCCCATATGTGCAGCAGATCTCATAGATGCATATAACCATTGTACTTTAGGAATTATTGATAAGTAAAATATCCTACAGACAGGTACTTCCTTCAGCTTTCTTTTCATTCCAGACTTTGGTTTAAATCTTAGTGCATTGCAATGACGGCATGCAATCTCTGATAAATCATCTTTAAAGTATAACATGCATCCACTGACATAATAATCTGTCTTTGTGTATGTCAAATCAAGTATGGAAACTAACTTCTTTGTCCGATATAGATCTATAGGAATTATATTATCTGCCGGCTTAGTTTCCTTAAGCAGCTCAACAAATTGATTAAAATATTCATGAGAAATATTATATTTTTTCTTGATGCTTAACATTATTACAGTAATAGATAACTCTGAGTAAGTGGTGCACCCTTTTCATATTGGTTGTTGGGCAGATGCAACAAATTATAAAAATTTTATGTCTCCTTATTTGGTAACTCTTATGTATATTATTCTGATTGTGTTCCAGTTGCATCACAAACTAATTCCTTAAGATTTGATTGGATATTTTCATCCTCAACTATATTACTATAATTTTTTTTTGGAATGTTTGGTTTGACATAGACATCCTTTGTGAAGTATAATCTAACAATTATTCTTTCTTTGCTTTCTTAATTATTTTGCGAGGAATGTTTGGAATAATTTGATAATAAAATAAATAAATTAATCGCCTTCATTTCTCTCAAATGGTGGTGTTACAGCCGGTTTGTACTGTAACTCGCTCTAGTGAGGTAAACTATATAAAATTAGGGCCTCATAGGTCTTCAAAGCTATACATGTAAATATGATCCCCCAAGCCCTAGGTTCTTATAGAAATCTCGCATTTAATAATTCAATCCTGATAACCCGCTAGTAAGTAAGACTTTACTCTTTAGTGCCAAGTTTGGGAATACATAATTTTGATTAATTATCCAAACCAATAGTTATATTGCCTGAATTAAAACCCTAAAAATATAAATAAATTTACTTTGGATGTTAATTGTGAAACTGTGAAGGCTTTGATGAAGCCAAATTCAATGGGTTTGGAGAACATGTTATGATGAACTTATGTTTTAAATTTCACTGTAATTAGATATAATTTGGTTTATCAATTAGTGAAACCAACATACAAAAGTATAATTGACTTAGGATCTTATTTAAGTCATAAATAATTTAAATTAAATCCTAAAAATTCATTTAAGGTTCAATCTACTCTGAACTAAAAGTTAAACAAGTGAAAATTAAAAGCCCCATCAAATTTTAAATAAAAAAATTCATTTGTAAATTAAGAAATATTAGTAATTAATTAAATAAAAAA